ATATTCCCTTTTCTTATTAATAAATAAATAAATAAATAATTATGTTACTATATTATTATATAAATAATACAAATAAATAAATAAATAAATAATTATAATTATTTATTTATTTACTTATTTATTTATTTATTTTGGGGCTGTTTAGTTGCATGCATTAATGTTTAGTTTTATGTAACAAGGAACGGATCTTCCTGCTGCTGCTGCTCTTGTTGCTGCTGTTGTTGTTGTTGCTGCTGCTGCTGCTGTTGCTGCTGTTGTTGTTGCTGCTGCTGCTGCTGCTGTTGCTGCTGCTGCATGCATGGCTGGGTCTATTATATTGCTCTGCAGCAATAACAGCAACAGTTCTTGCTGCTAACCTAGCAGCACCAGCAAGCTGCTGCTGCTGCTGCTGTTGCTGCTGCTGCTGCTGCTGCTGTTCAACACTCTGCAGCAAACCAACAGAGACCTCCTGCTGCTGTTTTATTTGTCTCTTTATTGTCTCCTTATTGTCTCTTTACTGCTGCTGCAGTAGCAGCAGCAGCAGCAGCAGCAGCAGCAGCAGCAGCAGCAGCAGCAGCAGCAGCAACATCTTTGTGGTACGAAAGAGAAGTGTCGATACACCCCAACAGCAGCAAATATTAATTAATAATAAAAAGATAAATAAATACATTTATTTATTTATTTATTTATTTATTTATTATTAGTTAGTTAGTTAATTAGTTAGTTATTATTATTATTTAATTATAATTTTATTATTTATTTATTTATTTATTTATTAATGAGTTGCCTGTACACCTGAATAAGTTATTTATTTAAGTAACTAAATAAAAAAGGAAATAAAAAGGGCAGCAGCAAACAGCAACAAGGACTTCCTGTTGCTGCTGCTGCTGCTGTTGTTGCTGCTGCTGCAGCTGCTGCTGCTGCTGCTACAGCAGCAGCAAACAATGTAACATATAATATAATAATAGATTTCTTCCTTATAAGAAGAAAAAAAAGGGTTTAGTAAACCCTAAACCCTAAACCCTAAACCCTAAATAATTAATTGTGTTACTATTCTCCTTATTATTTATTATACTAATTATTATTATACTAAATAATAATACTAATAATAAATAATAATAAATAAATAAATAAATAAATAAATAAATAAATAAATAAATAAATAAATAAATAATAAATAAAAGTAAAAATTGAAAGAAAAAAGAAAAGAAAGAAAAGAGTTAATAATAAATAAGGAGAATAAATAAATATTCTTCTTCTTATAAATAAATAAAGAAAAATATTTATTTATTTATTTATTTATTTATTTATTTATTTATTTATTTATTTATTAATAAAATCCCTATTATATATATATTATATATATGTGTATATATCTACATTATAAGAAAAGAAGAAAAAGAAAGAAAAAAGAAGAAAGAAGAACAAGAACAAGAAGAATAAGAAGAATAAGAAGGATAAGAAGAATAAGAAGAAAAAAGAAGAAAGAAAAAAGAATAAAAGAAGAAAAAAAGGAAGCAAAAAAGAAGAAAAAAAGAAGAAAAAAAGAAGAATAGCGGCAATAATAAAAACATAAAATAATAAATATTTTATAAAAATAAAAATATACCTTTATTTATTTATTTATTTATTTATTTATTTATTTATAATTAAATATATATATATATATTCTTTATAATATATATACATTTATATATATACATTTATTTATTTATTTATTTATTTATTTATTTATTTATTTATTTATTTATTTATTTACTGCACAAGCCAAGAAAAAGAAGAAAAAAAGAAGAAAAGAAGAAAAAAGGAGAATTAATTGACAAGAAAGCCAATATAAATAATAAATAATACCTATAAATAAATAATAAAATAAATAAATAAAATAAAATAAAATAAAATAAATAAATAAATAAATAGGTGCCTATACACCTTGAGGTGTATAGGCAACTTTATAATACACTTATAGCTAAATCAAGAAGATCATCATTATTATTATTATTATTATTATTATTTATATTTATATTATTATTTATATTAATATTATTATTTATATAATTATTTCCTTGTTTATATTTATTTAATACAATTAATTTATTATATTTATCTATAAGAAGGGAATTTTTTTGTGTATTTAATAAAGAAAGAAGAATATATTTAATATTTATATAATTATAATTATATTTATATTTATTTATTTCTTTATAAGATAATAAATAATTATTTATTTTTTCTTCTTTTTCTTTTTTATATTTATATAATAAATAAAGAGGAAAAGGTCTATTATATAAATCTAGGGGTATATTTATATTAAATAATTCTTTTTCTTTTTTTTTTTCTTTTTTTTTTATTATTTTTTTTCCTTTTTTTTTTT